AGTAATTAATGCTTGTAAGTGCCACTCATCTCGCAATGTTTGCGCGCGTGTGTGTGTGCGTGGGTGTTAGTGTGTAGGCTGCGCAACGTTGCCACATTTTCAGTTTTGGCGCTATCAAGAATTTTTGGTCGCCGTTTGTTAATTGCACGTTTGGCAACATATGTTCGCATGTAACTGTGTATTTGGCGCCACCTACGTGGCAATTAGAAATTGTTAGCAAACCGTTATATCAAGGCCATGCCAGCCGCAATCCCTGACAAATCTTGCCAACTTCCGTTGCTGGGCGTAACACATGGCGTCTACATATTGCCGCTGCGTAGACCAAAACTTTGCGCAACTTTACATTCATCAGCTGGGCATAAAAACAATGTTGGAAACTCACATAAAACACGAGAAGGAATTCGCTGAACATCAGTGCTCAGCTGGCATATACCCTGTAATTAATTACTATTTATAGATTGCCAATCAATCAGCTCAAAGTCACTTGCCAAGGCTGAATAGTTGCACTTGAAAATTTCAAATTTCATTTTCATTTCCTTCCATTTCGAGCTATGCTTTATAGACTTTGTATTTGATCTGATTACAGGGTATAGCTAAAGTAAACACATGCCCACATACACACGCACGCACATGGGTATACATGCATGCATGCATGTATATGCAGTTAAAGGATACATATACATGCATACATGCATGTATATGCAGTTAAGGGATACATTGACGTATCATGTGGATATCCTTGGTGGTGTTGGCCTTGGCTCTGTGCGTTTAATAGGCTTCCAATAATGCGTAAATATGCTTGCAATCAAAGCGTGTGTAATAAAAGTTAGTCTTGCTGATAATTTACCCAGCATAACAAGCTGTGAGCTTGAAGCATATTAAATATGCGAATTATAAATATATTTATAAAGTTCTTATTAAATTCTGGTGTTCAAGTTTTAAGCTAATTTATCTGAATACTTAAACGGAATTTACTCCTCGTATCAAAACAAACTTAAATTTCAACTCTTAAATTTGGAAACGAGCCAGAATCAATTAAAACTCAAACTAAGCTGGAACTTTTGGGCTTAGCTGAACTTTTGGGCAGAAAGTTGGTTCAAAAACTAATGATAGATTATTTGTATTGCATTTTGTGAACTGATAAATAATGAATTCTTCGGAAGAACATAATTAAATGTAGCGAATCTGTTTCTTTATCCAGAATCCAGAGAAGATGCTTAATTTATTCTAAACTAATTGTGATCTACTGTGCTCTGTAATAAGAAGTTTTGATGAAAGCTTTTGGCCTAACAATTTTGCACTTTTGTACATTTTTTTTTTGTAAATTTAAAAAACTGATTAAAATGAATATAAAATATAATGTAAAATATAGTCCAAACTTTTAAATTGTTGGAAAACTATGATGACATCATCAGAAAATTAATTGAAAAACTATTTTTATATGTCAACTTGAGAGCCTATTTTGAGTTTACGGAACAGCAGCTCAATTCGAGTTTACTGAACAGCAATCTACTCTTAACTACTCTTAAGGTCTATCTCTCTCTCTCTCTCTATGTATTTCTTGCTGCCTCTCTGTCTTTCTTGTTGCCTCTCTCTCTCTGTCTACCTCTGTCTCTTCCTCTCACTCGATCTATCTCTCGCTCACTCTCTCTCTCTGTATTTCTTGCTGCCTCTTTCTCTCTCTCAGAGTCTCTCTGTCTGTCTCATTCTCTGTCTCTCTCTCTCTCTATATATATATGTCTTTCTCATTCTCTCTCTGTCTCTGTCTGAGGGCACGTCAAAAAGCTTAGTTAGTCGGGCAATGGAAATTCATTTCATAATGAATTAACAGGACAATAAATAACGCAACTTGGGCTCTGAGCAATATAAATCAAAAAATATATAATGATTTGTAACAAAAAGTGAATATGTATTTAAATTGAATATATGTATGTCACTAAATTTATGTCTAATTTAGAGGCAAATAACATCGTTTGCAGTTAACCAACATACATTTTCAAATATAGCAATTTGATATTTTCAATTTAGTTATGTTTGCCCTATTTCCAATTATTTATGTAATTGCTAGTTGGTGTGTGTTCGGTACACATGAGTGTGCGAAAGCCCGTGTAGTTTGATATCCCGAGCCCAAACGGTGTAACACCCTTAAGTGATTAGAAAATTGGGTGAAGCGTTTGAATCATTTCACGCCTCCTTATTGCCGCTTTCCGCGTTGCGTGTCTGAACGTTTAGGCCACAAATATTTGACCAGGCAGCAAAAGGTCACAACACCTGTCCTTCGAAGGGTGTTATGTTAGCCTATAACCTAGCTCTCGCTCGGCTAGTGGCTAAAAGCTATTCCGATCCTGTTTCGGCCCAAATGTCACATACAATTTTGGAAGAGCTTTTTACAAATTCTAATTTGATTAAAAATCATGTTTCGTCATTCAGCCAACATTTCGCTCTGAGTTGATCCTTGAGTTGCGTTTAGTTGAATTTATTTTGAACATTTTCTATTTTCGTAGGGGGCGTAGGTGTGTGTGCGACTGTGTGTTAGTGTGTGTGAACTAAACTAGAGCGCGCCTTGATGCTATTTATAAAAACAGCAAAAGCAACAATCACAATTGTCGCTTAGTTTTGCCTCAAGTGTTTTTTTGTTCTCAGCTTTTTTCCATGCTGCCGCCGCATCTTTTGTGCAGTGTCCCAGGCCAAGTTGTTGTTTTAGCTGTTAGTTGGCAACACTTAAAATATGACCGAGTAAACAACGTCAAGTATTATATAAATATACATTTATATATATATATAGTTGTGTGTGTGTGACACTGAGCGCTTTACTCACACATTATTTAATGAATTGCAATCTAGCTGAAGGACTTTCAAAGCGCATCCTCTTAAACGTTGCATAAACTGTTGACAGTTTTTCTTTGTATTTTAGTTTGACGCGGAAATAAATGTATTTATATAAATACATTCATATATATAGAATACAGTTATTTATTTATGTGTGTAATTTTTTCCCTTTATATAATTTATTACACATTAGTTATGCTCGTAGAAGCCAGAGAATAAATCCAATTTAGACTGTGACACGAGCATAAAAAACATTTAACACTTAATATAATTAAAAGAAAAAAACAGTAAATATTCATATGCCTAAATATGTTTTCTATTCATTAAAATTCCAAATTCAATCATAAATATTTTGAGACTTTAATAATTTACATTTTAATAGAAAATAAATTCCAATAAATTTTTGCAATTTTAATTGAATTAAATAAAATTCATTTTGCACCACAATAATTTAATTTTAAATATTTATATATTTTGTTTAGTTATTGTTGTTTTAGCCAGCTTTGTGTTCCTTTTTTGTTTTTCAATTTATTTTGCCAATATATTTTGACGTCGACCGAAATAAGGTTTAAATTAATCTACAACTTTTTTTACATTTATTTTCCATATCGAAACTGACGTTGAGCTGCAAACAAACTATTTTTTGGCAGAAAATCTTTGCGTATTTGCGCAGTTCTCTGCGTCTGCTTTGTAGTTAAGTCTGGTCCAATTATATATAGCCTTTCTATGGAAACGTTACATATAATTTTATAATTTAATTCTGATAATTTCACACACACAATTTCTGATATTGATATTCTTGTTGTTGCTTGGTTGTGTCTTTCAAAATTGATGTGTTTCCGCTCTCAGTGACATGTGCTTCTAGAGCTGCTTTCAGTATTGTTGTCTGATATGTATTGTTGTAGATTTTCTTGCTCTTGTTCGCATTCTCTTTATAAGTTATATATATTATTGTTTATTATTTATTTATTAAAAATATCATATAACTGCAGAAAATGATTTCTTCAAATTTATATTTAAAAAAAACACAAAAGTGTATTTTTTGGCAGTAGTTGTATATAACAAAACATGTTTAACTGCTGAATATTGAGCTAAATATCTATACATTTTTATATTGAATTTATAAATATATAAATGATGTCCATAAAATCTCCCATGTAAACATGTTTTTGTCAGAATTTTGATTTTCCATATGACAGTACTCATTTGGTATTTGTATGCAAACTAACAACGCCCACTGTACACGGCAGGTGCCTTTTGTGTTTGTGTTGGTCTTCATTTATGTTTGATTGGGTGTTGGGGGTTGGGCGTGTGTGCCCCAAGCGCCTAGTTGAATAAATCGCATGCGATTAAAAATGTATGCACAAACAAACAGGGCAGACAGACACAAGTAACTTCAGATACATTTGTTACCTTTTGCTATTGTTATCTTAGTTTTGTTCTTCTGCTCTATTTCAGTTGAATCTTTGGTAGAGTATCAAATTCCTTTTGACTTCTTTGTTTGTTTCATGCCCGTTGGTTTTACGGCTTTTTTATGGCAGTGAAAGTTTCACAGTGGTTAGAAATTAGAAGTAATCTAAAAGTCAATTTGTTAAGAAAGCAAATATGGACTAGAAGGGGAGTTGAACAAACAGAATTATTAATGATTTACTAAAATATATCTAAGATATCTTTAAAGAAATTATCAGAAATTGTTTATATGCAAAGAATTTAAGAATATATGTCTTTCACTGTGTATTCAATATAGAAGTACGAAATAGAATTGATTAAAAAAATTTAAAATAAAATAAAATTAATTAATATGAACATCCAAAACTAATATAATTAATATAGTCTATATGAAAACTATAAATTAAATAAGTAACTTTGTTTAAATAATTTGTAAATATAATGAATTAGTTATTGTTTCTGTAATTTATAATTTTAAGCATTTGTTTCTACGATAATCATAAATTCGTTCACATATGTCGACGTTAATCAAGCCTTTAACTGCTGACAATAGTTTTGGCAATGATTTTTGTGGCACTGTGCAACGGTTAAATAAGTTGGACTTTCAATCTTGCTCAGGTGTGAGTATGTGTGTAGGTAATAAATTTGCATTTGTACCGTTACGCTATTGTTTACTTTGTAGGTTAGTTTGTTTGGCTTGGCTGTGCTACGTATATATTTACCTTCGATGCCTTTGGTGGCGATGACGACGAGGACGACGAGGACGAGGACGAGGACGAGGACGAGAACGATGGACGAGCTAACCCCAAAGCATGCCAGCAGCAACGACACTCCAAACGCAGAACCTCTTGACTTTCCACACTCGACTCGACTCAACGCAACGCACTTGACAAGGTTCTCGCTTTGACTCTTCCTTTATTTATTTATATTTTTTCTGGCTGGTTGCCTCAAGCTTTTGCGTGTCTTATTTTAATTTGGTAATGACTTTGGCTTATTAATTTATTTGCATAGTTGCGCACATTTTTGTTCATTTTTGGTTTTTGCCAACTTGTCACTCATTTTTACTCTGCTATCCAACCCGCAAGCACACACATTTTAATTTTTTCTCTTTGCTGCTGCTGTTGTTGCTGTTGTGGCTGATGTTGTTGTTGCTTAAGTTCGCTTAGAAACGAAGCGACACAGCAAAAAGCCAAGCAAGCTGCCTGCACAAGTCGGCGAAAAAAAAACTGTATCTTTTAGATCCGGGCATATCCTTTATCTCGGACAGCGCAGCAGCGCAGTCGGAAACAGCAACTGCGACGTTGGCAGAGAAGCAGCAGCATTCGCAGCTGCGGCCGTGGCACCGCCAGCAGCTGTAGCTGAAAAAATTTTTTCGTTTACGCTGCTACGCCGAAATTTAACGCGCGTTTCCAAGAAACTTTACAAGTAGCGCAATGGAGCAACAACAAGAGCTACAATCAACAATTGACAACGGCAACAACAATTAAAAAAGCAGCAGATAAATACAAGCTAAACACAAGCCACGCAGCTTTACCGCCAAGCAGCACAGTTTCCGTTAGCGGAACAGTTCGCTGTTGACGATTTCGTTAGGAAGGAACAAGTCGATGCGCACACGCGTGTGTCCTATACACAACTGATTACAATTGTATTCCTTGCAGCGAAGTCGAACGCGACAGAGGCTCGAATGGCAACTGAGCAGCGACGCTAGCGTCGCTTCAACTCCGATTCGTTTCGCTTGGTGTTCGTGTCGGCAATACGACGTCGGCGTCAACGTTAACTTCGACGTCGGCGACGACGACGACGGCGTTGACGACCAGGTTCCGTTACCGAAATTTGACTAAGCACAGCTTTACCAGACGCCTGACAGAAACGGCAACGGCAGGCAGCGCCGACAGCTTCACCATATTATGCTCTCGCCGCAGCGCTGGCGGCGTGGGCCTCTTGCGGCGAGAGCGTCTAAGAGAGGACTCGAGGTGAGAGAGTGAGAAACACACAGCGGGGCGAAGAGGCCCACTGAATCGGTTGGTATAGGTGCGATGACAATCCGCGCAAACAGTGGGACGCACAGCCAACATAAGAGTTAAACTTAAATATTTTGTTCTTTCTCTTTAATAAATGTAAGTATTTAATGTCATATTATATTATGAAATAATATGAAATATTTTTATTATATTAACATTTATTCTTTAGGGTATTTAAAAAGAGAGTTTTTTTTTAATTTTGCCCATTGTGCTGACTTATACAGAGCCTAACAGAGTTCCACCCGTGTTTGGCTACCCCCAACACAAAATACAGAGTCACACAGTCTGGCAGCACCACAAAAATAAATGACTGTGTGAGTTGGTCCTTGCTCATCTAGCCTCAACTCTGTTCTGTTTTCGGTCTCGCCTCTGTTTTGGGGCATATGTTGGGCTCATGTTGCGCTGCTGGCGTCGCAGTCAACGACGCTGTTAACTTTCGCTGTTAGCCAATGCCATCGTCGTCTTTTGCCAGTGCCTGAGAAATTACACCCAAGAGCTTAACATGAGCATCCTTTATATGCCGCCCTCGCGTCCTTGCATTGTTGAGTATCGAGCATTGCCATACTTTTCACCATCAAACGGACGGACATTTTACAGCTAAATGACAAGTGCTTACACAGTGTATATGTATGTACTATGTCTCTCTTTCTCTCTCTCTCTATGTGTGTGTTGTTGTAGTTGCTTTTGTTTATTCTTTTTCATTTTTGAAGCCTTAAAATGGGCAACTTGTGGGATGACGGCCATGAAGATGGCTTTTGGGCTCGCAGTACCGGGAATCGGATAACGACTAACGGGTATTTCGAGGGTGCCAACATGCCAGGAAACAGTCTGGTCGAGCACTTGGCGCACGCTTGCGCGCCTTTCAAATTTAGCGAATTAACTCATTAAATGCTCAAAAGCTCATTGCCTGCGAAATGTGCACACATTCGTGTACCCGTGTGTATGTTTGTGTGGCAGTGTGGGCGGGTGTGTCTGTGTGTGCATTAGTGTGAAATATGCACATGTGTCGCCTATGTGGCTGGCTGGGCAGCTATGGCTGGCGAAATGTTACACTCGGCCCGTGGGGGCCGTTGGGGTCATTCCTTGTAGTCGTCTGCCGCTTTATGCAATTTAAAATAATTTCTGTAATTATTTTAGTGTGGCACTTAAATGGCTTTATTTAAAATGTGTGAGCTTAGCGTTAACCGCACTGCGTCTCGGGTGCAGTATGTTGATGTTACGCATACGCCGCGTGGCACGCTTGCTTAAAGTATTCATATCAAAGCGTAGCATGCCGTACTAAAATGATAGCTGCGTGCTGCAATTACGGCGTGCTTATATTGACCGTGAAACAGCTTTGCATAGCAAACACTGGACAAAGTCAATGCAATTTGTTGCATGCCACGGCAGACACTGTGGCACCAACTGCCAATTTGCGGCCCAATTACGCACGGCGACACGGCATCTCACGAAACTGCAGCCCAACACTCTTAATAATTTTCATAGTCGAGCAAAATACCCGCAATTTTAAGGCCAATTTAAGTTATGTTAAGCTATTTCTATAACTTATTCAGATTCTAATTCAGGCAGAGCTAAGAAAATTTAAATAAATTAAGTAACTAGCAATTTTACCACATTATTATTATATGTATTAATATATATATATATATTTTACCACTTTTTATTATTATTATTAGCTGTTATGGAAGTATCATATAAAATCTCCTCATCTTGTTATATATATCTTAGGATTTTTTTATAATATATTTTTTCCATAAAAAATTGAGCAAAATTCTAAAAAATATATACTTAAATATATAATTTATATTCATATATTAATTGTATATTTATATTATAAGCTACAGATGAAATCTGTAAGCTATAATTTAGATCCAAAAAGGAAAATGCAAATAAAAAATAAAATATATTTTAAAAAATTCGGTCATTCAGTTTTTAGATATAAGATTCAGAAATATTCGACTTAAAAAATTAGTTTTATTAATTTTTACTTAGATCGGAAATTGTTTGCATGAATAGTTTTTAATAAATTCTTTTATTGAAAACTTTATATTTTATTGTGTGTTTGCAGTAGCTCATAGTTGGCTCATTAATAAATAAGTATAAAATAGAATAAATTAATATTTCGTATCAATAATGAATTCTCGATTTGAATTGTTTTCTTTTCTCTTTCTCGCTATTTCGCTGCTGGTTTTATATTAGGTTAAATTACAGTTATATTTTTAAAAAATGAATACATGCAAATGCACAAATACAGGAAGGAGGCAAAAAGTTCAAGTACAAATACAATAACAGTCGAGGGAGCGTATTAATGTCCATGGCCTCTAATCCTACTTGGAATCAATCAATGCAGGCACCTCTGATTGGTCAAAAGACGTTGGGACCTCTTGTTGAGAATCTAGCGGAGTTTGAGTATCAATATCTTTTCCATTACAGATATCTTCGGATTGTTCCATATTGTCAGATTCTGTGATTTCACACTCTGATTGTATCTCCACCACGGCGCCTAGCTGTGGCTCTGGATCACGACCAGTTTGTGACTGTTGCTCTGCATCTGCCGTTGGTGGCAGTTCAGCCTTGGTAGCATCAGTTCCAGCTTCAGTAGCAGCTGCCGCTGCAGCAGCCGCTGCTGCAGCTTTAGCCTTTGACTTGGCCTTTTTCTTATTGTTCTTCTTGATATTGTTTGCTTTTTGTTGCTCCTCAGCTGCTTGTTTCTTCTCTGCTTCGGCAGCGGCTATTTTCGCATCATTTGTGGTGAGCAGCTTCATTTGGTTCTGCAAGTTGGCCAGCGTCTGCTTAAGTTCGGCGCAGTTACGCGTCATCAACTCCATTTTGGCATTGTCCGTGTTGACGGGAACTACTTTAATGGGCTCCGGCTCGGGCGGCAGCTGGGGCATGGCAGGAATTTCAATTTCATGCTCGCGAAGAGTCTGATGAAGCGTTGTGCGCTCTTGTTGCAATGCACGCAGAAGTTTCTGCAGCTGATCCACCTGCTTTTGGAGGCGTTCCGACTGCTGGTCCCGATATTGCTTTTCAGTGGCCAATTCAATGACCATGCCGTTGGCTTTTTCATATTTTTGGCGCCAGCCCAGCGCTTCCTTCTCAATTTTCTTGGTGTGCTTAGACATCTTCTCTAGTTCGATTTTGTAACTTCCAAAGACTTCATTGGATTTCTTAAGCGATTGCTGAAACTCGTCGTATTTGGCTGTATAGATGTTAAGCTGCTCTTTGAGCTGTTGCTCGCGCTCCGTTAGATCCTTGATCGCGCGTTGTGCCTGCAGCAGTTTCTCTAGTCCAATCTGATTCTCCCTATTGGATTTTGCAAGTAATTAAGCGCATATGATGAAAGTGAAGAGAGCGAATAGTAAATTTATACTCACTTGGTCAGGATTTCTTTTTCCATAGCAGCTTCAACCTGAGCCTTGCTGAGCTTTGCCTGATGCAGCTGAGACTCGAGCTGGACCTGCTCATTCAGTTTTTCCAAGTGCTTCTCACGGGCCTGATATTGGTCAGCCAGAAGTTTTAACCTAAAAACACACCAAACATACATATAGTGAACATATGGTCAATTGATGGCTGTATCTGTGCGTGTATGTATGTGGCAGCCAGATATATCCACAAGCACACGGCATGCAGCGTATTGCCTATAAATAGACAGCGCACGCCGGTGTTTTGCTGTTGATTGGCAGCGCCTCTTACTTTTTGGTCATTTCGATGTTGTAATCACGTAATTTAACGTTCTCCTCGTTGTTTTTTGACAGCGACTTTTGCACCTCGTTTAGCGAACTCTGAAATTTAGTTTGACTCTCTTTGCGCCGCTCCTCCTCCACCTTGATTTGGAGCATGCTCTCGTTTTTCACAGACTTCAGTATACGCTGTTGTTCACGGCACACCTCCTGCAGCTTATCTCTCATAAGGACGCTCTTATTCAGCTCCCGTTGCACCTGCTCCTTCTCCCGCTGCTGTGTCTCCATGTGGCGCTGAAGTGCACGCATCTCGGAGTTCAGGCGGGTCACTGATTTCTCGCTCTCGACATGCCGTTGCAATAGCAATTTTAATTTGTCCTCTGTCGTGTTGCACTCGTCCAAGGATTTTAGCACCTGGTTACGGGATTTATGTTATTATTTCCATTGAAGTGTCATCAATGTTCCATAAACTTACTACGTCCTCCAGCTTTAATTCCCGTTGTTTCTCATCGCGCACCACGCGCTTGCTCTTGTTCGCCTTTTCCATGGTAAATCGCGTCTATATATGCGTATATACAGGTCGTTCAAATTTTTACTATATTTGTTGAGATTACTGCCAACAGCGTGACCGAATTCTTATACAAAAAAACGCATTATTTTAAACAAAGAAATATACCAAAAAATATAATCGAAATACTGACCCTCACTTTAAGTAAGCAAAAGGGAAAATTACGTACTTCTTGGATGTAATTTTAACAATTGATTTAAAACCGTTTTCAAAAGAAGGTTGCATTTAATGACAATAAGCCAAAAGCGTAAAAATATTTTTAATTTAAAATTTTGAAAATAAGTATTTTTGCTTTGTCAAAATTTGATCAAATGTGGCGGCTGCTTGATAAGTTGTTGGTAAGTGCTGGATGGTTCTTATATTTAAAAATCCTTTGCGCTACTCTCAAATTTGAATCGCAATCAGTGAATGCAGTCTTGCGTCGACTTGAGTTCGTTATCTAAAAATTATAAAAATTAACACAACAACGTGAAATAAATTCAAATGACATCAAACACAAAACGATCTATTAATATTTAAAAACAGTTTTTATATCAATCATGAAACATTTACTCCACTTAATAAAGTTGAAGTTTTCATACATAACAAAAGGAATTACAGCGACATCACCTGCTGTTAAATGGTGGAGTCGATTAGAAGAAATGTATCGATAGTATTTTTATGCTCAGACGATTGCAAATGGAATTGTCAGCCATAATTTTGTATTCGATATAATCGATTTTTAGACTTATTTAGTGTGTATGCGTGTGTGTGACTTCGTCATATGACATTTTTCACGTCGTTTGTATTAAGTTCGTCGTCGTCGTCACTTGCTTTTTTCAACTTGCATTGATACCACGGCTGAGCGAATAGAAAAACATTAAGTGTTAAAATACCTTAAAATGGCCAGCCAAACGCAGGGAATCCAGCAGTTGCTTGCTGCCGAAAAGAAGGCAGCCGAGAAGGTTGCCGAAGCCAGAAAACGTAAGCAAAAACAAACTAATTTATCGTCCAATTGGATAGACATAAAATGCTTACGACTTTTCGCTATCGACGTTACGCGCGTCAAGCAACATCGAGTCACATGATTCGTTTGCACTCGAGTAAATATTGATATAATGGAAAAATCTTTGCTAAAATTACAGGCAAGGCAAGGAGATTGAAGCAAGCCAAGGATGAGGCCACCGAGGAGATTGAGAAATTCCGTCAGGAGCGTGAACGCTCCTTTAAAGAATTCGAGGCCAAGGTTAGTTGCTCGTTATAGGGGCTGAGACAAAAGCATCATTCAATATATATATATATATATATATCAATATACCAATACAGCACATGGGCAGCCGCGAAGGAGTTGCAGCGAAAATCGATGCAGACACTCGTGTTAAGCTATCCGATATGGAGGGCGCCATCAGGACACGCAAAGAACCCGTCATTCAGGAGGTTTTGCAGTTTGTCTACAATATCTCGCCCGAAGTGCACAAAAACTACAACAGGAAGTAAATTTTTGGGGGCACTAGCGACGGTGTGTGCCACATCCAAAATATTGCTCGTTTTATTGTAAATTCGATGTCCAAGTTCAACTCTTTAATGCATAATTTAGCCCCTTAATAATAGTGCATACTATACTAAACACTGCTGTATTATTATTCCATATATTAAAAAATTTGTTGTTTCACCAAGATAGAACCTCGGTGCAGTTAAACTCTAATTTGTTAATTACTGTTAATTGTGGCGTTCGCAATTGTTAATTAAACTATTATTTTGTTTATGTTTCATTCCATATAAAAACAACTTGTTATTTTATTTCGAAATCGAACTTTACTCAATTTAATTCTTTGCCTTGATATGAGCAGAAATGATAACAGGCACGTTCAGACATGCATGACAGCAGAGACACAATTGAATTGGTCTCATTTCACGTAATTTTCCAATTAGATTTATAAAGTCAACATGTAAATTATTCTGCTAAATTTTATTCCCAGCCCAAAGACTCCCTGGTCAATCGCTTCGACAGTTTTGTGACGCATGATAGTCCACCCAGCCTGTATCCAACTGGTCTTTTTTGTAGGTATTTTTTAGGTCGTTTTGTGGCTGGTATTTAAATAATACTGACCAATCGTAGTCGTTAGGTTAATTTTGGTTCTGCTTAGCCTGGTGCTGCAGTGCTCGGTGTGTGGAGCTGGTGCCGCTATTTTCAGCTCAATCGCGGAAGATGCAATTGTATAACAAGAGGTCCAAGATTCAATACTCAATGATAACGGTTGTCATTCATTAATATTGACTAACGCGACTCGAAAATCACGCACACTAACGCAATATGAGATGAAAGTAAACAGGTCCGGCGAGCTTTTGGTATAGTTAAGCGAGAGTCACACATGTTTAGAGCGAAATGCTAAATTTAGATAGTGCCAATACTGTCCGCGATGCTGATGAGCTGGAAACGCCACCTACGTTACCTCGGCCGCTACCTCAGCCCGATGAGGAGTCGACGCAGCTGCTGGCCGAGCAGAGCGAACGACCAAATGTTACGATTAAGCCACCTTACACGGCCCCCTTGGCGCCCTTCGATATGGAACTGGTAAAGCGAGCTGGCTTAGAGGGTAAGCTGCTGCCTGAGCAGAGCATCTGGGGAGGCGTGATAAAACAAAACCACGACAGCAATGCAGAGGCCACGGCACGTTTTGTGGATCTTGAGCGAAGCGGCAATGTCGGAAAGGCCAGAAAATCATCGACTGAATCACTGAGCTTGCACGAGAAACGCGCTCGATTCGCTGAGAGGTAAATCCCCCTGCATTTCGACTCTGGCATAGAGGAAGCGGTCATTAGCTTAATTACATTCCATTTACTATTCCATTCTCGTTGTTGTTCGTTTATCTATTGTTGTAGTTTGTTTGCCAACTTATACAGGGTGATTCGTTAATAATTAAGTATGTATTAAATAATCAGAGTACGCTTAGTTCTATATGGACTTCGATATACTATGATTCATAGAAAGCACAATTGAAATACGAAATATACTAAGTCGGTTATCGAGTCTTTGTCAGCTGTACGAAAATGTGGTCTTGCCTAGAATCAGCAAGTGCAAGGATTAGGTAGGCTAAACTGTATACGAGGTCTATTTAAATATCGCGATCATTAAATTTCCCCAAGTTACGCATATTCGATTTACAATTGTGTTCTGCTTGGATGTGGTATGGTTCGTCTTTGAACAAAGAATCTATATCAAATTGTTGGCCAAGTAGCACAGCCATCGTATGCTTGTTGCCAAAACTGAAGATTCTCATTAATGCTACGAGTGAGGTACTGAACAAGGCTTGGAAAAAACCTTGGCAGAAGTCTTAGAACTTTTAAATAGATATTTATGAAAAAATAAGAAATGTTTGATAGAATCGTAAAATTTGCGATAGTTTTTGAGCAGACATTGTATGTTTTTCTAGATAATATAATATTCAATAAAACAATAAAAAAATATATATTGTGCCTTATAGTTTACGTTTTCGATTTCATATATTCCAGTAACCATAATGGAAGTTGATAAAGCTTTGTTCTTATAAGATTTGATTCCATGATGCCTATACATGAAGACCGTACTCATAATATAGTAATATATAAATAAAAAACCCTCTATATCTCCGAATAAATTTTGGCTCTATATTATATATCTAGAGCTTGTCATCTCTTTGTCATTATAGTTTCCAAAAGATAAAAAATTATTCATCAGTTTTAAGTGTTATATAATGTTTAAAGAGATAAATTTATACTGATAAGAGTAGAAAGGCAAGTTGTAGAAGCTTCTTAGATTCTGAAAGTGTTTATTATTTATTACAATTTCAGTAATTATAGTGAATACTTTGTAGTAGAATGTGCTACATTCATTTGGTTTCATTTACAAAAAGGGTTTTCTTAAAAGTTTTCAAAAATATATTTCTATTTTAAGATTAATGTACCGTTCATATGAAACTAAGTCTCAATTTCCACCCAAGTGCATTTTGAAATTTAATTTTCTAAGAATTTTCGATTTAAAATCGTGATATTTTAGTTTTTATTTCAGTTCATTTTGAAAAAGTAAATGCATAATTTATGCAGCTATTATATGTACGATTTAATATATTATGAATAGTTGAAAAATCATATTAAATCCATCTATATTTGTTGCTATTTTGTACTGTGGTTTTTATTCCATATAACAATAAATAAAAACAATCTTTATCATCAATATTCAGAGCGGTATTTAAACCCCAACAAAAACAGTCTGTATAAAATAACTTTTTTTTTTTTTTTTTTTTTTTTTTTTTTTTTTTTTTTTTTTTCTTTATTTTGTTGCAGCTTATTGTCTTAGACTCTATAGCGCATTTAGCTCTAAACCTTAACTAATGGGAGGGCAGATATGCCAATTATTCTGCACTTGTAGCTACTATCTTAATTAGTTCTAATATTGTCTAGAGGATGCAATCTCTTCAGTCTTCGCCTATTGTTGTTTATAGCCAGGTTGCTTGCGAGATGGTTAGGATGCGCTGCAAGTCTGTCCGCGTATCTTGAACTGTGTCGCCCAATGAGTTCAGCAACTGTGGGAATTGCTAAATCCCTATGTAAGACTGAGTTTCTTACAAACCAGCTGGCTCCAGTCCATCTGCGTAGTGCTTTATTCTGCAGGGTCTGAATTTTGTTCCTTGTAGTCTTCGCCGAGGAGCCCCATAGAGAGATACCATATACGAAGGTTGGGACAACTATTGCCTTGTAGATGGCGGCCTTGCTGCTGTAAGACAACTTGCTTGAAGCTCTCAGCATCCAGTCGAGGGTTTTTAGCTTGCTTTTGCATTTTGAGGTTACTTGACTTATGTGCGCTTTAAAAGTCAGCCTTCTGTCAAGAGTGATACCAAGGTACTTTACTTTTGAGGCTTTGGGAATAGTGGGCCCCAATGCAACGCTTGGGCAATCTCCTCTTCTAGTGGCGAAGGTAGTATGTACAGACTTTTGTGCATTAATGGTGATACACCACCGTTTTGCCCAGCGTCCGAAAGAGTCCAGATATTTTTGTAGTGAGTCTGAAGCTTCTTGCGCAGATACGTGACGTGATAAGATGGCGGTGTCATCTGCATAGGTCGCTATGAGTACTGCATCTGTACTTCCTATATTTGGCTCGGGAGTTGGCATATCTCCTGTGAATAAAGTATAAAGTGTTGGGCCTAGAACACTACCCTGTGGTACTCCAGCCATAATTGGTCTAGTCAAGGATACTGCTTGTCCCCTTGACACTTGGAAGGTTCTTCCAATAAGGTATGAGGATAGCAACGCGAAAAATGGGGCTGGAAGGGTGGTCCTCACTTTCTGCAGCAGTCCCAGGTGCCAAACTCGATCAAACGCCTGTTTGATGTCTAAAAAGACGGCAGAGCAGTACATCTTTTCTTCAAAGGCTCCAAGGATATGGTGCACAACTCTGTGAACCTGTTCCGGTGTTCCATGCTGTCTCCTGAAGCCAAACTGATGGTTTGGAATGGCCTCCTGGCGTCCCAGATGTGTCAGTACTCGTTCCAGAAATATTCTTTCGAATATTTTGGAGAGTACTGGCAACAGGCTAATTGGTCTGTACGACTCAATTTCTCCCACGGGTTTGCCAGGCTTAGGAATCATCACAATCGCGGCGCGCTTCCAGCAGGCTGGAAAGTGCCGGATGCGGAGCATGGCGTTGTACACCATAGTTATGTAGTCTATGGTGGAGTCAGGCAGTGCTCTAAGGACTCTGCCGTTTATTAGATCATATCCAGGGGATTTTTTTGCCTTCACTCTTCTGATGTGTTCAAGAACCTCTTCTTTTGTACATCCAGTTATCTGGTCTTCAGCTGGGAGGGGCGAGAGAACGATGTCTTCTGTTGCTTCGATTTCTGAGGCCTCTGCGGTAATCAACGGCGTGAATTGGTCTTGAAGGTGGTTTGCAAAAGCCTCAGCTTGAGCTTCGTCACCAATGTGCCAGGAACCAGAAATGCTCCGAATGGGATGTCGACGTATTGGCTGCCGTTTGAGCTTTCTTGTAAATTTCCATAATTGAAACTCTGCGTCAGTGGGCGATTCAGCTCGTACCAGCGCATCGCTGATACACCTCTTTTGAAGCAGGGCGAGAGCAGCTTTAAGATGCCTCGTGGCTTCGTTGTACGTGGATTTGGCATCAGGCGTGCGTAATCTTAACCAGCGTCTCCTGGCCCATCTTTTGTGTATTAGTAGGTGTTGGGCCTCCAAGGTGAGGGGGATGTTGTACGGAGACTGTTGTCTTGTTTGGCAAGATGGTGGGGCGGCTTGGTGCGCAGCTTTGACTATTTCTTCCTGCAGTTTGTTTGCTGCGTAGTCCACGTCTTCAGGAGTGTTAAGTTCCATTTCTATGTGCAAAGAGTAATGGAGCTCGCGCCTAAAGACTCCTAAATCTGATCCTGCTGGCAGTAGTTGTTTCCTAATGGGCAAGGGCTGTGGCTGCGCGTGGATTGTGACTATTAGTGGCAGGTGGTCAGAGGATAGGTCCAAGGATTCTTCAATGGTCAATTGCCGGTCACAGATGCCTTTGTAGACAGCGAAGTCGATTGCCGAGGGCCTGTGTCCATTAATTGGGTAACGGGTGGGGGCTCCAGTCGCCAATATGCTGAATTGTAAGTTTTGAATCGCCTCAAATATGACTTCTCCGCGACGATTCGCACTATTGCTTCCCCAAAATGGGTGCCATCCATTCCAGTCGCCGCCGATGAGGGTCTTATTCAACCTTTGGCCTAGAACCTGTTCCATGTGATGATCACACAGACCAGTGTTTGGCGGAAGATAAATTGACGCAACTTCGATCGCTCCAATAGACGTAGGCAGGGTGATGGCTGAGACCTGCATTGTTGCGTTGCAAATTGACAGTAAAGGTGTATGCGGTATTGTTGCTCGTATGAGGATTGAGGATCCACCAAAGCAGTTTGCTCCTTCACCATGAGCCTGATAGTGTTCGTATCCGAAAATTTGTGTAGTGGGGCACTCATGAGTTTCTGTTATTAACATTATATCTATGTTTTCTTGTGAGAGAAACGCAGCCAGTTCCTGAGTCTTGTTTCTCAGGCCATTGGCGTTCCAGATACCCACACGTAAAGCCATTATTTGTAGGCAAGCTTGGTTATGATGGCCATTAAACTGTTTAGCATGGTTGCTTGTTGGGATTGTACTTCTCGCATCGCTTTGAGCTCGGCATTAATTGCGTCAAACTGACGTTGTTGTTGCTGAAGCATTTCAGTGAACAAAGTGTCACTTGTGGTATTCTTATTTGACGGTCCACCTCTAGCGGCCTGTGCGTAAGAAACACCACTAATAGGCGTTGCAAAGCTCGTGGCTTGGGTAATGCTCCGGGGCCTTGTAATTTCGGAAGCAGTACTCGGACCCGTAGACGGTGTTTGTGTGGGACTCCTTTTTTGTGCTGGGGATTGCAATTTGCGCAACCGCTTGTATACTTGGCAGCCCTTATAGTTGGCTGGGTGCTGTAACTCACAGTGCACACAAGTTGGTGCCTGGTCCTTTTCGCGGGTGCAGTCTTTGGATGCGTGTTTCCCGGCGCAACGCACACACCTGGGAGCTTTGTGGCAGTAGCGTTGTGTGTGTCCAAATTCTTGACAGCGATGGCATTGTGTCAGGTCGTTGTATCTTCTTGGCAGTTCCACTGTGCAGCGTTGCCTGCAGACAACTCGAATGTCCAAAATTTCTTTGTTGTTGGGGGCCTGAGCCACGTCAACAAAAAATATATTTAGCGGTGTTTTGTCCATACGGCTCAGTGGGTTGTGCACATTTGTAATTGTGTGGCCTTTGGTTTCCAATTCCTTTTTAATTAGTGTTGTATCAGTGCTGGAGTGAAGCCCTTTGAACACGACTCTATATGGTTTGTCCTCCTTAAGCTGGTAGCAGTGGAACTCCAATTCCAGCTTAGTAAAGTGGTCTATAACTCTGCGATAGTCCTCACTGCATTGGGTTAATACACCTATGTTATTCTTCTTTGGCTTAATTACGTATGATTTAGCATCAATTACTTTATCTATTATCTGTTGAAGTAGGGCCACAGACTTGATGTTTGGACACCATATGGGGGGCGGACGAGGTTTCGGTGTAGTTTGCTGGTCGGTCAATACTGGGGCTTCTGGAGCTACAGGTGATTCGCTGTAGTCTTCATCTTCTTCTACGAGCAGTGAAAATCGATTTTCTGATATTAATGCTGCATTGCTGGTGCTTGGTTCGTCGAAGATGAGCCTTTTCTTGATGGTTTTTGGTGAATTTGGCTGTTTACGTTTCGTGTTTTTGTTGTTAGTGATGCCTTGCACGGAGGCGATATCTATTTTTGAGTTTATTGGCATGATGGAGGCTTGCCTATTTGCCATCACAACGTTAAGCTGGGCTTGCATTTCTGCATTTACCTTTACAGCTGTAGCGGGGTCATTGACATTAGATGTCATCGCGGATTGTGCTTTTGAGTGCAGGCGCACTCGCGCCAAGCGACGAAATTTCGTAAATTGCAATTAAAGCAATTGAGTTACGCGGAAGCAAGCGATAAGAAAACGCTGCGTGTGCGGTTTTTGTTGCTGTTGCGTTGAAGAATGCACCGCAAAGTTCTATTTTTTAGAACTCTGCAGCAGTAGAGCTTAAGCGAAGGCTGTTCGAATTCACGTCTTTACAGGTCGAACGACTGATCGCGATTGTATAAAATAACTTATTAATATGTATTTGTAATTAACCACAAAATGATTGTCGACTCTTTGAACTTTTGAGCTTGATTTATAATATATTTTATCAAAGTGCACAGAAATCGGGAAGTGCGATCAGCTGGCCTGAATATATTTTCCTACTGCAATGGGAAAAATATTACACCTCACCAATGCACACACACACAGACACACATAGCTTGAGATTTGCTTGCATATGACTACACCAGACGCTAGTGTCTGTGCATTACTCAACAAGTGCTCTCTCGTAATTGCTGCTCTCATTGTCTCGTGCGACGCGGCGCATTGGCCAATAACAGCTGTTTTTCTGCTGTGCCGTGCTCTCTGTGTGTTTCAGCAAGGTGAAGAAATGTGAAGAAAGAGAGTGCAGGGTGGAGAGTGAACACGACAAGACAACCCGGCAAACGTATTCAGCTGCTCAACTGCTCTACGCTCAGCTGTTAGCGCTTGTTCAGTTTGTTATCGTTGCTGCTGCGCGTTGGTCGTTGTCTTCGTCGTCGTCGTCGTCGCCGTTGTCACCTCAGTCCGTTTTCTTAATTTATTCGCTGTGTACGCGCAGCAGCTGACAAATGTTAATTTGATTAAAAATTTGCGTGGACAGCGGGCAAATAGCATAAAATATTACTTGTTTGATTCCTATTCTGCACATTATAATTGTTAATAGTTATGGCTTAGGAAACGGAAACGGAAACGGTAATAAGAGACGGGCTTAATTCCTTTTGCTTTGCTGCTTACCAGCTTGTTTCTCCAATGTATTACTCATCACCACTGGGACATAATACAAAGATCTCTCTGTCTTTGTATCGTTGGCATCTCTGTCTTTTGTTGTTGTTTTCTTTGGAGACTCGTGTGGGCGCTTGTATTTTTGTTGTCACATTATTTTGCAGTTATTTGTCATATCGAAATTCCGCGTATTTTTAACAGCTAAACTATATAAACAATGATTTATATAATGTACATTTATATGTTTTAAATAATTTCACATCTTGCCTTGCTTTGGCGAATTTTGAGTACATTGAAAAAAATCATAATTCAATTCAGTTGGCCTTGATTAAAAAATATCAAAACAGTGGGTTTCATAGAGTCAAACTGGCTGTATTGTGTGTAAATGTATTATGGGCAAGCTTCAAGTTAATTACTTTTTTTTGGTAGAAGGTCATTATACTGTGTAGAGCCCTAAAACTTACAAAAATATAAACAACAAAAGTTAGCTTTTGGCTATAAGAAAAGCTGCACGAATTTGAGGCTCAAAAAGAACAGCTAATAATAAATTATTAAAAGCCATTTATATGTTGTTGTTGTATTGAAAATACGGAAAGAGCTTTAAATAAATTTTAAATATAAAAATTTGTAGATGTGTGATTCTAAAATTATATTTTTATAATATATAATAATTTATTATAAATTGTTAATATGCAGCTGTGTTCATGAAAATAGTAGTGTGACTATGCACTTAAATTTGGAATTCAATTGATAACAAGTTGAAATGACTATTTGGATTAAAATTTTGTTTATTTATTTGTTTATCTTTGTTAGAAACATTCACAGTTCAGAGCTTGAGAAAGAAAAATTACAAAAGTTAGTTGTTCATAATAATAATAGTGACTGACAAAAAGAATACAAATTATTTAAGCCTAATCTAACCTCATATATTAAATATATGTTTTGGTCTAATACTTATTAGTTTAATAATACTTAATATTTTATTTATTTTTTCATATTTTAATTATAATTCATATATTTCAGACATTAATTTTCATGTTTCTAATCTAGTTCTACATATTGAAAATTGAGTTCTTATCAGTAATCCCCGCAATTTAATTTGTATTCTAAGTCGTAAATTGCCTAGAAAATGAAATTGCAATAATATGATAATGATTTTAATGAAATATTGCACTTCGAATAAGACTTTTTTTAAATCTATAAGTTTTTATTGACCTTAACAAAATAATGTTACTAGATTTGACCTGACTAATTTGATCACCATTCTAAAGTAAAACAAATATTTATATAATTTTATGGAAACAATTGCGATAAGACTCGACGCTGTTTCCTATATATGTATATATATAAATTAATAATATATGCTTAGCTTTTACTAGAAGCCAACAAATGAGTACTTCCATCACATTATTGTGAATGATTCATCAGCGACAAGTGTTGCTCCATGATCAAGGTGGAGAAGAAAATATCCCACTGTAGCTGAATCATAGGTGACAAGCAAACCACTGTGTTTCACAGGCAAATATTAAATTGTATTTATTTATATATATATATGTTACACTTGATAATATTTTAAATGTGCAGCCGTTTTTTCTCATTAGCAAATCGTTATTTGCACTCAGTTGAAGCAAAAATATGATGCGGTAAGAGCTTTCGAGCGAGCTTCTCACATAAGTGTGCTCTTGTTTATTTTAAGTTGCATTTTCTTAGTTCTCTGTCTGAGCTATAGAGCTGCTGCATAAACAACTAAATTCCCCGACGTGAAAACATATATATGTATATATAACAAGGCGCCTGGCTGCTCAAACATTTTAATATACTTGCTCTGCCGATTATTAAGTATACGACCCATTTAACATTAACGACTCTTATTCATATTGACCTATATTATTTGCGGGAGTGGTGTGACTCTGTTACGAGCACTGCGCACGGCAGGGCGCTAAAAGTCCCTGTTGCGTGGCCTTAAGAGGTTCGGCCTATGGGGAAACATTGTTGTTGCCATTTCGAAATGAAATTTTCAAATTTTGGCTTCCACAAATCTAATGAAATGTATTATAATTATCATTTGACAGCGGCTTATCTACACATCAACTGTCAGATACTGTGGGATCACTGCCCAACGGCAAAAACTCCACCTTAAATCCGACGAGTCCTCTACTGCGAATGTCTGAACCCACGGAGAGCTACGATGAGCGCGAGTGTAGCTGCCCGCGCGAATTTTATCAGAGAGCCGAGCTAAACACCTCGCTTTTCTTTGCGGACTGCACACGCTCCATAGATTTTGTGCTGGCCTACAAGACCAATGCCAACGAGGCCACGGAGGAGGAATATGTGGAAAAGCGGCGCATCTTCCAGGAGAATCTGATACATCAAGGCCTCGAGGTGGAGCTCAGTCAAAAAGAACAAATTTACTTTGTCAAGGTGGAAGTCTATAAACTAGAAACTACATATCTATATATATCTAATATGTATCTAAATATTTCAGATACATGCACCGCTGGAGGTGCTGCGTCGTTATGCGGAGATACTTAAGCTGCGCATGCCCATGAAGGAGGTGTGTATGCATTTGCCATTAATTCAACTTTTCAATGCACTCGAATGATACACAAAACGTTTTATATTATTTTAGTCATTATGTAATTTGCGCGTATATGAAAGATCAAATCGTCTACACAATGCGGCGCATTATTTGTCGAAGAAGGTCTGCAAAAAAGTTCAGGTCTCAATTAAATGCAATTAACAATTTTTGCAGATGTTACGCCTTGCCATGCTGCTAAACAAAATGAGCCTCGATCTCTGAGTATTTGCCTTAATTTTGCTTGAGCCATATAAGCCCTACTTGATATCCAATTGCCAATCTCAATCTCAATCTGAATCTAAACCTTTCAAGATTGTCTAGTCTAAACTTATGCTTGTTATAGAATTTCTTTTAGTTTGAATCTTTTTCAAAAAACTTTTCGATCTTTTTGTTGTAGTTTAATTCTTATTAATTATTATTTTCAAAAGAGCTGTATATATATATAAATATTTCTTTTCCTTTTGTGTTCTGTTATCCAGCACTTTCTTCGTTTATTATGTGTCCTAAAGCTTGAGTAAATAATCCATATATTTGCCTCATTTCAGATACCTGGTCTGTCCGTGGTCAATCGTTCCACAAAAAGTGTTTATTCTAGTCTCAAAACAGTCTGCCAATTCTTCTTGCGTAATATCTATGTCGACGAGCGTTACTTTCCGAAGCGAGCGCACCGCTTCACAGCCATCTACAGTCGTGATAAGGAATATCTGTGAGATTGACTACATATCACATAAATCATCCATCTATTAATTGCTTTACATTTGCTTCTAGCTTCGATATACGTCAGGATTGCTTCTTCACAACCGCAGTGCGTTCGCGGATTGTGGAATTCATTTTGGATCGACAGCGCTTTCCCGCCAAGCGTCAGAATGACATGGCCTTTGGCATTGAGCGCCTGGTTGCTGAGGGTGTTTACTGTGCTGCGTATCCACTGCATGATGTAAGTAGCTAATATTGATCAAATAAGCGCAACTTACGTATTTTAATAAATACTTTACAGGGTGAAATTACAGAGGAAGGCACCATGCGGGAGCTGCTCTATAAAAACTGGGCTTCGGTGAAGAAATGGTATCGCTATCAGCCACTGGACGATATTAAGGAGTACTTTGGCGTCAAAATTGGTAAGTGCTGACATTCCTTTAATCAGACAGATTCCTTCACTCCCAGCTTTCTCATTGTCTAGGTCTCTACTTTGCCTGGCTGGGCTTCTATACGTACATGCTGCTGTTGGCTTCCATTGTGGGCGTTGTTTGCTTTCTCTACTCCTGGCTTTCACTTAAAAACTACGTGCCCGTGTAAGTTAGCAACGTGCTGGCAGGCTAAGATATACAAGCTAAACAACAGCTCTCATTGCAGCAAGGACATCTGCCTGCGCTCAAACTCGAATATAATAATGTGTCCGCTGTGCGATTGGTGTGAATTCTGGAATCTGAGCGAGACCTGCAACTATGCCAAAATTACATACCTCATAGACAATCCAAGCACAATATTCTTTGCCGTCTTTATGTCGTTTTGGGCGACGTTATTCTTGGAGCTTTGGAAACGCTATTCGGCTGAGATAACGCATCGCTGGGATTTAACAGGCTTCGATGTGCACGAGGAGCATCCCCGGCCGCAGTATCTGGCCCGTCTGGAGCACATTGAACCCACACGCACGGACTACGTGACCAATATGAAGGAGCCAACGGTGCCATTTTGGCGCATGAAGCTGCCAGCGACAGTCTTCAGCTTTTCCGTTGTGGTGCTGCTCATTGCCTTGGCTTTTGTGGCCCTCGTCGCTGTCGTTGTTCATCGCATGTCCATGCTGGCCGCCTTAAAGGTGGATGGCAGTGGCATGACCACATCAAAAGCAATTGTTCTGGCCGCTGCATCGGCGGCATTCGTGAATCTCTGTTTGCTTTACATACTGAATTATGTAAGTAACTTGGCCAGCCCATATTTATTAAATTACAGAACTTTCCCTTACCTAGTTATACAATCACTTGGCTGAATACCTGACTGAACTGGAAATGTGGCGCACTCAAACGCAATTCGATGATTCGCTGACGCTCAAGATTTACCTATTGCAGTTTGTGAACTACTACGCTTCGATATTTTATATAGCGTTCTTTAAGGGCAAATTCGTGGGGCATCCGGGAGAATATATTACCGTCTTTAAATACCGTCAAGAGGAGGTGGGCTAGCATGTCGCTTCTGATGCAACTAAATCTAATTGTTTTCCTATTTGCAGTGCTCCTCGGGCGGCTGTCTGACAGAGCTTTGCATACAGCTGGCCATTATAATGATTGGCAAGCAGGCATTTAATACCATTTTAGAGGTTTACCTGCCGATGTTTTGGCGCAAGGTTCAAGCTATTCAGGTTGGCCTTTCCCGTCTATTTGGCAATTCGGTTAAGCCTGACAAGGCCAAAGATGAGCGTTGGATGCGCGATTTCAAGCTACTGGACTGGGGCGCACGCAGCTTGTTCCCCGAGTATCTGGAAATGGTTTTGCAATATGGTTTTGTCACCATATTTGTGGCCGCCTTTCCGCTGGCGCCGTTCTTTGCGCTCCTCAATAACATACTCGAAATGCGCCTGGACGCCAAGAAGCTGCTGACCCATCACAAACGGCCCGTTTCCCAACGTGTCCGAGATATTGGTGTTTGGTATCGCATTTTGGACTGCATTGGCAAGCTGAGTGTCATCACGAACGTGAGTGGATTGAAATTTGATTTGATTTAAGTTTGACATGCAATAATCATGCTCTTTTAGGGCTTCATTATTGCCTTCACTTCGGATATGATACCACGCTTGGTGTATCGCAGCTTAAAGTCAAAAGATGGCACCCTAAATGGATACCTGGACTTCACCTTGTCCGAGTTTAAAATATCAGACTCGTCCAAGCTACACAGCTTAGCTGGAGACTTTTCTAACATAACCACGTGCAAGTAAGTGTACCTAAAGTATGTTTCAAAAGATTGACTCAAACTTGCAATTCTTCTCCCTCAGATACACGGACTATCGAGAGCCGCCCACATCGCCGAACAAATATCAGCTGACGAGCACCTTTTACATAATTTTAGCTTGTCGCTTAGGCTTTGTTGTGTTGTTCGAAGTAAGTTTCAAGTTATTCGTTTTATTTGCTTCAATACATAAATGCTTGTACATGAATGGAGAAAATAGCTTTAGTTAATGTAATCATCCCACTTAAATAAGTTTGTCATCTGCTCGTTCGTTCAGGTGTATAGAGAATTTCAATTAATTACCTTTAACAAACTTTCAAACCTTGATATGCTGGAACATACCCGACGTTTCCACAATGCTCTCCTGCAGCGCACGATTCTCATTTGTAGATGTCTTCAGCATGCGATAGAGCGCATAGATGCCATAGGCAAACAGCGCGTTCAGCACTAGAAAAGTTATATAAACCAATGAATATAAAGTAGTTAGAGTTGAGGCCAAGCTTACCTATGAAAACACCGAAGAGCACACTTCGTGCTATGCGTCGATCTATGGAGGCATCCACTTCATCAATCTTCAGCTCCAAACACACAAAGATGGCCACCTCAATGACCATCGAGACGTATGCGTTGATCAGCCATGGGGCAATGCAAATGAGTCGTCGCTAAATAGATATTTGTAGAGCAATAGCATAAGACTGATATCAGATTGTCTCACCTGCTTGATGCCATCGACTAGAATGCCAGCCACCACTAGATTTATCAATGCCTTTACCCAAACGGTTACAGTGAGTATCATGTAGAAGGCTTGTGAGAATTCATGCACCAACACATAGTCCACTGGAAGGCAGATGGTTTAAGTCTGTTCACTTTTGCTTTTGTTTCTCTGCTTACCCAATGTGGCTACAAAGGCTCCGAATGGACTCAGGATCTGGACATCGTTCTGCTGCCATTGCGTCAAGTCCATAAAGTCATTATAGAGATAAAAGCTGCTTAGGCTGAGGATGAACAGCGCAGTTAATGAGTCCAAGCAGGCTATGCTCAGGCCGAAAGTGCGCAGATTCAAACAGGCGAAGCGTTTCATTGTTTAAATTTTACAAAAAAAGTTATTTGCAACTTTTTTAATTGTTTATATATTATATAGAGTACTAGTAAATTATGTTCTTATGTTATCCTTTACTCTATTAACGAACGCGTGCATTCGCTTCGAACTATTTGTCGCTACTAAATCAGAAAATTCTGCCGTGTCTGACAAAATGAGGTCCAATTTCCATTGAGCTGGCATTTTCGCTGTTCACTCTTCATTTTCACTGCATTTGAACAAAATTCTGATGCGCTTGTGGCACATGAACTAGATCTGTGTGTGGGCTTCTTCTATGCCTCTACTCATATTAGTCTTAATTTCTGGTCTCGTTTTTTTTACACCTGCTTAAGCTAGCTATCCAAAGTGTTGTCTCTCGTAGGTACAGCAAAGCAGAGGATGTGCGCTAACTGATTAGCTAAAAGAATTTAATTAACTAAAAAGAGAGCAGTTTTAGATGACAGCAGACGCACTTCTAAGGTTTTACTCTGTGCTAATGACCCCAATCAAGTGCTGGCGTGATGAAATATTGCACCTGCACCAGTTAGAAAACTAAAGGTAAAAAGTTGTTTAGCAATTAGTTGAATTGGAAAGCGCTTTGAAGGTTGTCCATACAGCATAGTATTAAATAAGTTAGTCAAATGAAATTCTCACATTTCGCTTATTCCTCACAGAACTTTGTAGCTCTGGTGATGATATTGGTGCGCTGGTGCATACCGGACATGAGCGTGGAGCTGCGGGATCAAATCAGACGCGAGGTTTACATAACCAATGAGATAATCATAGATCAGGAAGCACAACGCGCGCGCTTTGGTAAATGATATAAAAACATAGTTCTCATAAAAATGATTTAATATTTCTGAATTTCTGTTTAGAACGAGCGAAACGCAACTATTCATTAGCAAGAACGACAAGCGTGCAAGACGTGGATGCTGCCTCTGTAGATGAACCCAATTCGAAGTTCATAAAAATAGAAAAACTACTCACCGCGAACCTCTCTCAAATTGAAATGGACTCAATTATACATGGCGATAACACGACCACAGGCATCTCTGGTGCTGACTGCTAGCTTCAATGCTCTCTTCTCACAACGCTTAGTGATGCGGCCACATATAATGATATTTAATTTTAATTGCTAGTTCAACTTATTTAGCTTAGGCTTGAAAGTGCTTCATTGTGTTACGCCAGTTCCTTGCAAAAACTTAATTAGTTATATGAAATGATTTAGATTTTTTTAAACAATATGGTTTAAAGCTTTAATCACACAAACACTATCTCAGTTATTTCTAAAACAATCGTGAATATTGTAGATGCAATTTTTGGGCACAACTGAAAAGACTGAGCACGAATCTCGTTGAATCGATATTGTTTTAGCTCAGCGAGTGCCAAACTAGAAGCGAGCACAAAACAAAAGAAATTGTTGCATAATTTTCCTTAAAAAATATATATATAGTTAATTATATATGTTATATATAATATATATAAAATCACATTTTAAGAATTAAATTTTATTTTCCTATTATTTATTATTACATCTAGATAAAGAAATTTCAGGACAATTCGAAAACCCATTGAATTCTCATTAAACATACAAAACTTTTACAATTCATGAAACTATTTTAGATAAATTAATTATATATATATAATTAATTTATATATATATAGAAAGGATATTTATATTAAGTGGGCACTGTATGTTTCCACATATTAGATAAAGGTAAACGCAGAAATATATTGTACAAATTGCAAATGAAATCTGTCTATTGAAATGTAACTGATTTTTATAAAATAACAAATAATAAGAAAACATAATTTAATTTAAATTTTTATAAAATCACATCTTAAAAATTAAATTATGTTTTCTTATTATTTATTATTACATCCACATAAAGAAAATTCAGGCCAATTCGAAAACACATTGAATTCTCATTAAACATGCAACTTTTACAATTCATGATTTTAGATAAATTAATTATATATATATAAATATATATATACATATATAGAAAGGATATTTATATTAACTGGGCACTAAATATTTCTACATATTAGATAAAAGTAAACGCAGAAATATATTATACAAAATGATAAGCAAATTTGTCTATTGAAATGTAACTGATTTTGATGGATTATAAAAATATTTTATATATACTATTGTTATAAATGTGCTATATAATAAACTGTTATCTGTGTACTTTCCTAAACATCTGTTAATGGAATCCTTATAATTTAGGCTTTCAGAAATCTTGCTGAAAATGAATTGTGTTTGGAGCGAAAATAGAAAACATCTTAACTTATTATATATTTGATTTATATATTAATATTATCAGTTAAGCTTATACCCTGAACACAATGATAATGGAAATTTATTGTACAATAGTTTTGTGAAGATATATGGAACAGGCAGGTGAAGCTGTGGCAGAGCTCAAAAACTATATATATGTATATTCTGTGTAAGAACGATTAGATGAGATGATATAGTCATATCAGTTTGTCTGTACTATGTTTTATATGTAAATTCCAAAAGGCTTGCTTGCTCGGGCATTAAAATTTCGGTAAACAATTTCATCTGGCACAAAAGTTGTTCAGCAATTTAGTTCTCAAGGGCTTTGCCCCTACTGCAGCTTAATAAAATAAATGTAGAATGATTGGATTAGCAACTCTTAGCAGGGTTCAGGAAATCTGATCGGGCACTCCCAACTAGAGAGCACATATTGAATGTGACAATTTAAAATGTGTGAAAAAAAACATAGATTTAAACTTAAAATGAATTGGTTTTAGCCATGAATCGTTTGGTTTATTTTTACCCGATTGCTAATCAAAACCGTAAAACAAACATATTCTTTGAAAAAGTTGGCCTACCTTAATCTTTATGGTAAACATTTTTAATCGTAAGTACTTAAGCTCAAAGACTTTGGTAAACATTGCCTAATTTATAGCATTTTATTTGGCCCCTTTAATGCGAAGCTGATTTTCTGGCCATAAAATACTTAAACAGATAATAAAAGTTGAGTACTTAAATTGTATAGCAATTTGGAGAGCCGAATTGCCAAAGGCAATTTCATCTTAAGAAGCTTGAGCCAAAAAATATTTATGATATATATATTTAAATATATATAAATAAATAGATTCACACTTCGTTAATAATAATAACAATAATAACAAAACTTAGCAAGAAGGAAAATATAAAAAAAATAAATATATAAATTCATTGAAATAAATCTAATTATAGTATATATATACGTATTAAAAAACATCGAGTTTAGGGTATATACGTTTTGCTGAAAGATATGTAACAGGTTATAGCAGGCATGGCTCCTGCCCATAAAGTAAAAGGAGCAACAGCAGAGTCGATATCCGTCTGTCTGCATATTTATGTAGGAATTAATTTCTTCCAAGCTCCTGCACAGTCGCATAGGCCACACATTTGCTGTATGCTGTAGCGCTGGCAGCAACCCCGAAACGTCGCCCCCTGCAGCTGGTCCGTGGCTTCCCGTAACGCAACAAGCTAGACGGCTGGGAGCAACATATATTCACATTCTCGCAGCTTGGGAGAGCATGGGCCAAGTTGGCCGAATGGCGGAAATTTGTTGGTTGAATGATTTGTTGTGTTGCGCTCGCGTTTGCTGCGCATGCGACAAACGATGACGTCACGTGGGAAAACTTGCGCTCTGCAGTTGGGAGCGCAGCTGATTGCGTTGCCAACAAGCGCACATGGCAATGGCGATGGCGATGGCGTCGCTGGCGACGTAGCTATTCAGCCAGGGTGCACAGCAATAATCACATTCATTCGTTTATTTTGTTAGCCACAGTGCGTACGTCGGTTGCGCTGCCTGGTTCGTAGGGCACTTTGTGTATGTGAAACGAAATTCGACGGGCTTCATTTACGTTACGCTGTCATCGTCTAAACAACAAAGTTGTACGCGAACGCGCTAAAATGCTGCTGGCTGCGCTAGCCGCCCTAACTGAACTACGTCGCCGCTTCGATTCGAGTCCATTGCCCATGAAGTTGCTGCGTGCATTGCCCTAAGCACGGAAGTGTGTTGTCCTGGCAACCCGGCGCCAGTCCCATTGAGCTGAATGCTGCTGCGGCGGAAATCACAAGTATGTCCTAATTAGAATCGTAATAAAAATACCTGTGTACAGGTTTAATATTTCACAATCAAAGCGCCTTTAGCCAGCTCGCATGCATATCCAAATGACCTTTTGCGATCCGCATCGACTATTGATTTTAGTTGCCGGCTAACACTCAAGGAACAATTTCAAATTTCACTACACTCTCTGTATGTGTGTGTGAGTGTGTGTGTGAATGACTTGGGCGCCTTGGCAATTGCATTCCGCCGCCTTGGCGTCTCTTTGTTTGATATTCGCTCAACAGTCGCAGTTCTCATAAGCTTTAAAGTCAATAATTGAACTTCTTTGTGCTTTGTGCTGTTGACTTGTGGCTAGAATCGTATATATATAGATATATTTATATATATATTAGATATATTTATATAAATATAAGTGCAAGCAAATGTAAAGAAAGCTTTTCAGTTAACTATACACAACTCTCTAATATATGCCACACTTCTTGCTCTTCGGCTTCAATTAACATATATTTAGCGCATTAAGTGTTGCAATTGTTTCAGTTCGTTAGCTTTTTCTGTTGATCATTAATTGTGAGCAATTTGATTGATTTACAAATATATAGCTGGGATTGCTGTAATTATACGTTACCAAATAATACGGGTGCAATTAAACATTTCGTTAATGTCATTTCAACTTGTTTACCTACTGTCGACGTTTTGACTTTGCCGTGTTTCTGTACTTAATCGACCGTTGGGCATATGCTCAAATGTCCAGAACCTTTCCCCCATTGACTTTGCCACTCAAATTACAGTGCAAACAAAGGGCAGCTGCCACGATAAGCTTGGCTGTTGCTATTCCAGTACAGTGGTTCATAATGAACCGGAAGTTATCAGCTTGATAATATTATATATATATATATATATGTGCAGTTATTGTACATTTTTGGGTACTGCGATTACCATAGACATTAATCAGTTTTCTTTTTTGCCAGTCTGTAAAGCAGCTGTTGCTTTTATTCTCCTTTGATTGATGGCATCATTAAAGCCTTGGCAGCATAGTTAGTTTTGCTATGGGATATACAAGTGTGACATCAGCAGCCCTGCGCATGCTTAGCTAATTTAATTAACATTTTCTCTGTGGCCTAATAAATCTAATTAATTATATTACAATTAAAATTTTTTTTAATTTTTATTTAGGCTCTAAGCAATGGATATAAAAGATCAGTGCAAACTGAATTAATAAATCTGTCAGTGCGTGCTTTACCTATTAATTAATATATTTTAAGCATCATAAATATCTTCTGCTTCTTCTTTATATATCTGAAGTTTATCATCCTTTTATATAGCACACGCTGCGTATGCGCAATATTTTCATTTCTTCTGTTTTTTTACTGTTGATGATCGTCAAATAAACTAATTTATTACAAATATGCTTCAGAACATTATTTGTTTTGCGTATTTCGCGTTTCAATCAATCGCCCGAGCAAACAAATTAATAAAATTTTCGCATAAATTCGGCATAATCATTGGACGCTAGCAAAGCAAACATCAAGTTAAATACCAAAATTAGTTGCCCCAAAAAAAGGAACACATACAAAACATCAAGAAGCCAAGCAACAGCACAGCAACAACAACATTCTGTAAAGCCAAACAAAGCATAAATAAAAAAGTTTCTGTTGCTTTTGCATTAAGGAACATCAAAAAATATGCTGACTCACTGAACGGATGTTTCAATCGAAAACATGCTGCAATATCCCATAAGAAAATTACATATATATATATAGACATATATACAATTAGTGTAGGCGTGGATGTAGGCATGAATATGCTTTCGGTATCGAAAGAAATGTGCTCCGTAGAGACGGGATTGGCAGATACCCTGTAACGCTTAAACCCCAAATATTCGAGTTTTCCTCGTCTGTATATCTTAGAGTAAATGCCTTCGATATGTTTTTAATGAAGCAAAGTAGGGTACGCTTGGTGAAGCTGGACCAAAAGTTACCCTGTAATTCATAAGAAGGGAGCATTTAAGGTTTATTTTGTACATTTACATATACATATACATATATATATACATATACATACACACACATACATCTCCCCAAGGAATATGACTATATAAATTCTGTTCTAAATCCTCACCAAGTATCCTCTCCTCTGCCTGTTCCATATCTTACCATATAAACAATATACCCCCATCGTTTATTTACTCTTTTGGGCATTTGGTATAGCCAGGCAGGCACACGCGATTTGCGTTTTTATAATTTAACGCAATGTCTTCGCTCTTGCAATGTCATACGTACGATAGTTGTCCTTGGCTGCTATATAAATAGATATCCAACGTCCCAAACACCGTCACTAGCGACGCCAATTTCATTTACATGACGGGAATGACTTTCGTTCCCCTCCCCTCCCTGGGGGGTGCCATTCCCATTGATGTTTCGCTGCGTTGCTAGCTTGTCTGCAAGTGATTAGTTTTGAAAATGTTGCTCAAGGTTCATTTTCAGATTTATAGTTCGTTGCAGAAAACGCTCCAGGTTGAACATGACTTGAACAAATGTGGTTTAAAGGTTTGCTGAGTTACTGATATATGTGTGTTTATTTATTATAACAAACGGAGTTGATTTAATGACTAAGTCAGCTAAAGAGGAACCAAGGGTCGTGCTTACGATTCACTTGATTGTAACTGTGCGTCATAATTTTTATAGCCATAATGATAATGATAGTCATTATAACGGAAGCATTAACAAATTAAAAGTGTATATATGTATATGTGTTAAAAAGTAGTTTATATGTTAAAGTAGTTTTTGAAATGCTGCGAACTGGGTTTATTTTTAAAAATTACGGAAAAATATATAGATATAAAAATATAATTTTGGTAGCTTTTTAGAGTTTGTAATTTTGTATTTTTTTTTCACTTTTATGTTTTTCATCTTTGTCAATGGAAATTTCCAATCAAAAAGATTTACATTCAGCTTAATGCGTCTTTCCAAGTTATCCATATTACTGTTGTTTTATTTAGTTAGCTTGAGTCAGATTAAAATTAGCATAAATATAAACCAAGTTTTGACATATATACGTATATGTATATAATATATAGTTTATATAATTATAAGCACAATTGTATATACTATCATAGATTAATGTTAATGAGATTTTATTCACCATATATAAAAATGAAAAACATTTCTCTGGTGTATATTGGGGTAAGATCTAATCGATTTCGATAGGGTTACAAATTGACATACATATGTCTATGTGAAAATTGTTTAAAATCATCATGATCATATATGAAAATATATATTCATGGGATCAGTACTCTCTCCACTATTTCAGAGTGGTATAAGCATTATTTATGTTAGGCAAAAAGTATTTATAATTTAAATTATAATTTAAATTGGGAAAATCAAAAATGAAAATAAAAGTTTTAAATTGATTAAAAACAAATGAGTAAGCAAAAAATTCCTGTGGTTGTTAAGATGTTAAATCCTATGAAAATACAAATCCGCCCGTTTCCAATTCACGAAAATCATTTGCGAAGGTCGTCGGCATTTTAATTAGCGTTTCTCTTAATTCGAGTGAATGATGCAAATGCAAATTTCAGCGCCAAAATCAAAACAAATTTTGAATCTATATATTTGTATACATTTTTTTTGGGATGTTAGAAATATATATGTGAACCAATTGGAATTGCACTTTCAACTGGTTCCGAGCTCTTTACTGATTCAATGAGTGTATTAAGAGGGACTCAATGTTGAGCGCTTTGTTTGCAAGGGTTTTTCTTATTTATCTATTCATTTCTATGCATCAAGGGGGTTGCTTGGAAAATACAATTGTTTGTGTTCAAATCTCTTGCTCAATTTCCTTGTCTATTGTTTACTAACAAATTTACCAGCATCAGATTATTGCGTTGTAGCTTTAGTTTTTAAGAGCGTGGAGTGAGTTCAAAAATATATTTAGGTTCATCGGCGATTCTACAGCTGTATCTAGCAATCAAGGTGTCTTTTATCTGCCTACAATGTAGTCACAACTACAAAAAGTTTCCGTTAGTGATAATAATGCAATATGCGAATTCTGCTACTGGCGGCAGGGCAAGGGATAAGGAAGAACATTGTTAACAATTCTGTCATTTGTTTGTCATTTACCCTACTAATTGCTGGCAATGTGCCCGACTTACGTGTTAACTAATGTTTTCTAACAAGGCGCAATCATAAAGATTATGAAATATGCCTTTTAAGTGCACTTATTGCATATTTGGTGGAGGTTGTGTGTGCGCTGTGCGCATTGAACTGGTTCGAACTAGTGGCTGAGTACAGCACTTTCTGCTTACGGTATGTACAACGCATAAAAAAAACAGCACAAAGCAAAGCAAAGCAAACCAACGCAAAGCAAAACAAAACGACCCGTCAACAGCTGATGGCAATGGCAATGGTAGAGACGAAAAACATTGCAAACGCAACGTGCCGTTGAAAAGGGGATGCGCACCAAAACAGCAGAAGAGGAGAGAAAATGCATTCGTCTCGTTTTATATACCCTTTTTAAGGTATCGAGTATAATTAGACAAGCCACATAACAATTTATATTGTGTTATAATATATTTATTGGAAGTACTTTAGTTCGAACAGGCTGACTGTGAAATTCTTTGAATTAAGCGATATATTCTGGCTGCCTTTTTATGGAATAGAGAGCAACGACTAGTCGACCAATGGATAATTGTGCATTGCATTTGTGCTCTTGCTCATCTGTTCCTCAATAGTTTCATTGTTGCTGTGGTTGTTTCGGCTCTCAAAGTCATGGCCGATATTCGGAATACCTGAGGAGCAGTAGCATCAGCGATGAACAGTCATACGAAGGCGCTCGCGCAGCAGACGACCACGAAACAGAAGCACACAAAATAACAAACGGGAGCAGTCTGCGCATGGTTAGGCGCACTCAGAGGACTTAACGGTAAATAGTGAATAGTTTGTATGCGCGACTGTGTAATGGACAAAATAGAAATAGATAAATTGAAAATGGTAAATTGTAAATTGTAAA